GCAGGCACCTGAGGAGGTTTTGGAACCATCTATGTGGATTCTGGGGATGACTACATGGGGGATATCTATATGACGTGCTCACACAAATGGATGGGCACCTTCCCTGCTGTTTTCCCTTGAAGGACCATCACAGCTCCTTCTCACAAATTGAGATGCCCACAGACGTGCCCAGCTCCCACTCACGAGGCTCAGGTTCAGACTCAGGCTTTTCCCTCTTCTTGTGTCTTGGGCAATTCTGTGACTACGTATGTCTTGCTGAATCTCTCAGGTACCAGCACAGGGTGACTGCCTATGATGAAACATGAAGGGGCTATAGACAGTGAATGCCAAGATGTTTACCTTGGATCTTCATCCAGAATGATGTCTGTGCATTGTCACATCAGGAGGCACAGGCACAGGGACGTCCTAGAGCCTGGAGCAAATGAGAACCCACAAAGCACAAACAAGTTAACCTAGGTGAGGACTTGCAAAGCACTGTCCCCAGCCAGCCTCTGTGGGGCTTGGGTGATGGACAGCATGGAGAAAGCTCCAGAATGTGTGTGTGTGTGTGTGTGTGTGTGTGTGTGTGTGTGAGAGAGAGAGAGAGAGAGAGAGAGAGAGAGAGAGGAGGAAGTGAGGGTGGCAAACAGCCTCATGACAGAAAGCAGGTGCTCACTGAGCCCTTGGACATGGGCTCCTTCAGCTATGAGGAACCCTGCTGGAGGCCCTACCTTGGCAGTAGACCCTGGGGCCAGAAGGCCAGGGAGCGTGTGGATATTTCTGATCAGGGTCTAGGTAGCTGCTTCCACCAAGGAGTGGATCATTTCAGCACTGGTCGGTTCTCTTCTCTGAGGCCTGTTCTGCTGCTGGGTACCGAGAGTAGTGACAATGGTCACTTTCCCACCCAAACAGCACTAATCTGAGGTTCCTTGTGAGCCCTCGATTCCATAGTTTCTCAGGATAACTCCCCAAGGCAGGAACACTTTTTTATTCACTAGAATAATGGTTTGTCACAAAGGACAAAACCCAGGACCAGCCAGATGAAGAGCTGCGGGGAGCAAAGTTGGCAGAGAGCGTGGAGCCCCCATCCTTTCTCGCATGCTCGCCCTTCTGGAGTTCTCTGAACTCTGGTGTGGGTCTTTGATGGAGCCTACAGCCGTGCAATCAATGCTGCAATGGACACTGTTGATGGGACCTTCCCAGCCCTCTCTACCCTGGAGATCAGGGGAGAGGCTGAAGGGTTCACACCTCTAGCCCCACGGTTGACTTTCCTGAAGCTAGACTCCACCCTCACGCTAACAGGGCCCTACCTCTAGTCATCTTGCTAGCACTCAAAGGCGATTCAGTCCCAGATTCAGAAACTCTGCCATGGGACCCTTGAAGGCCAATGTCAATCTCCTTTTAAACCTCAGGGCGCTTGTGTTTATCTTCCATAAAGAGTCAAACACACTTCCTTCATTCAGCATACACCCCCACACCCCAACACATATACCACATGTGTCGCAAATATCACACACATAAGCACACATCACACACTATCTCATGCACTACACCCACATCATATACAAACACATATATCACACACTATATACATATACTCTCACATCACTCACTATAGATACACCATGCAAACATGTCTATCACCTGGCACACACATCAGAAACATGCACATATATACCATACAAATATACAGTCACACACAACACACACAAGTTCGCTACTCACACACACACCACATACTACACGAATCACCACACTCACATCATAAGCACACACACACCATACGCACTACTCATTACAGACACACTACACAAACACACACTACTCAAACATGCCCGAGCACACCACACCACATCACACACTACACACTGCACAGACACCCACATGTCACACACACAGTCTCACAGTGAACATACCACACGGACACAGTGTATATGAGTTATGTCTCTGAAGACTGGCAACTTCTTTCTAAAACATGAGCTGTGAGAAGAACGGTTCCTGGAACTCCTGGCTGACCTCACGGATGACGACAAGGGACAGAGTAGGAGTGTGGTGATGGGGACAAGGCACTGTAGTCAGTTGGCGTTGGCAGATGGTTGTCATGGCATGAGCTCCCCCTGAAGAATGTGTCAGTGAGTCAAAGACTCACAGCGGGTCCAAATAGGGTTATGACATATGAGGCCACGTTCCATCCCGCAAGCCCACAGTCAGGTCCGAGTATATAGCTATCTCTCTCAAAAATCTGTATGGTGCCAGTCAGCACAGAGGAAGTGGCTTGAGGGTGCCTGTCAAGTTGCAGAAGGGACCACAAGACCCAAGTCCCCAATATTGTCTCAAGAGAGCTCCTTTCTCCTGTGGTGTCTATCTGTAAAGAGTTCACCTTTTTCTCTAGGACCACAATTCCAGCAGTTGGTGCTCCCCAGAAAATCAATCCAATAGAATATATACATGTATGCACACACATGTAACACAAACACACCTGCCAGGAGGGACTGACTCATTCTTGGAAGTAACAGATGCTAACCCTGTGGAATTCCTGTGCCAGCTCAAGTCTGAAGCCACAGGCACTGCTGTGGATAAAGATGATCGGGAGGAGAGGGCTCTCTTAAGTAGGGGGACTGGCCCTTTTTCTTCAGAACAGTCTACATCATGCCCAAGGGACTGAACAAAACTTCCCCACCATGGCCAGCCAGATGTTCTTCTCACCCAAACACCCTCACAAGCATGCTGAGAATGATGCTCAGAGAGTATGTGGGTACCCCAAAGCTGAGTCTAGAGGCCACGGGATGTTCAGACACCCGCTGACACCTCCACAGAAAACCCTGCTTTATTTCCAGCCAGCGCTGTGTGATCAGCCCACTGTCCTGCACACTTTCTCCTGAAGGTCTCATGCCTTCCAACACAGTTGTCCAACTCCATCCTGTCAGGGATGGTCCCTAACTCCCCTGTTCCTACTGAGCATGTGAACTGGCTTTCTCTCATCAGCTAGCAACACAACACACAGAGAAGATTTTCAGTCAATACACCTTAAAGGAGAGCACTTCCCTTGGGAGATGCAGTCAGAGAAATCTGTCCATAGTGGGATTCATGGGATTAGGGACGCATTGTGAGGGTTGAGCAACTGAGCTTTTAAAGTCCTGATACAGAGCAGCGGAAGGGCTAAGGTCTCTGGCACAGAAGGCTGAGGCAAGGCCTCCATCACAGCAGACAGAGACAGAGCCTCCAACAGAGCGACAGGGGTAGGACTCTATCACAGCAGGTGGGGTAGGGATTCCATTGGGCCTGGATTGGGAAGATAGCTGCTTCTGGCTGAGACTCTTTGAGGGAAATTTACACAGGTTTCAAGCCAGGTGTTGATGGTGCACGCCTTTAATCCTGGCAGTTGAGAGGCAGAGGCAGGTGGATCTCTGTGAGTTCAAGGCCAGACTGGTCTACAGAGTGAGTTCCAGGACAGGCTCCAAAACCACAGAGAAACCCTGTCTCGAAAAGCCAAAAAGGAAAAGGAAGGCAGGGAGGCAGGGAGGCAGGGAGGCAGGGAGGCAGGGAGGCAGGGAGGCAGGGAGGCAGGGAGGCAGGGAGGCAGGCATACAGGTTTCAGGGACACCTCAGGGACGCTGTGGGTGAAATCACCCTCAGGGAAGCCTGTTGTTAGCAGGTGAAGACTGATTCCTGAGGCTGGTCCTGGAGGAACGGTCACAGGAACACAGGGTCACCCCATTTTATTAGGAACAAATACCACTTTCCTGGGGAATGGAGATGCAGATGTTGTAAAAACACCTCTACCAGCCATGGCAATACGAAAAGGACAGGGCTTTTTGTAGGGCTTGACACAGTGGCCAAGATACTGTGCCCTTGCCCTGGTCACAGTAAGTGGCTGTACAAAGAGCGACAGCCGCATCTTCAGCTGCCCCTGCCTCTTCCTTCTTTAATGGGCTATTGTAGGTGTCAAACACACTGAGACCCACTCATTCCCATTGCGCTGGGGGAGAGAAATGGCTTCTCCAGCTGTACCCCAGACACTAAGCAAATTTGGAAGGCTGGGCAAGTAGACCCAGAGCTCAGGGGAATCATGCTGGCTGCCACTGAGCAGCCCAGGCTGGGCTCATGACCCTGAGGGCTTGTGTTTCTTGCCAGGCAACAGAGAAGGCCAAGGCCAGCCAAGTTCTGCCTTCACATGTCAGATGAAGCCCAAGTAAGCAGCTTCCTGCTCCAAATTCAACTTCTGTAGACAAGAAAGAGAAGGTAACAGGGGCCTGGACCCTGCCTGCTCGGGAATGTAGCCATGCTGGGCTTTCTCTCCTCTCTCCCCTCCACAGGCTGGTCTGGAGGTCCTTTGCATTTCCTTTGTAACTGACCACTGAGAAGTTCCCTCCCAAACATTCTCATCCCCCCCCCAGCCTCCCCCCATGGCTGGTGAGACTTGCCCAGAGCACAGGAGTACTCTGGGGTGTGACAAATAAGAGCTATGATGGGCAAGACACAGGGGCCGGGGCACAAATACAAGTAGCTGGGCAGGGGGAAGGAGGGCGGTCCCTCCTTGCAGCTGGTAGAGGGACTGGGTGAGGTGGGAGAGCCAAAGGGGCAGAAGGCTTAGCTCATCAACTCAAGACTGAACTGGTCCCTATCAGTGTAATGAAGTTAAAGATAGTATGCTTAACTCTAGTCATCTTGAAGGGAGAGACAGTATTAATATGGATCCGCCCCAATCCTCCTGGCCACCTAGGCAAGGCTACCTAAGTACAGCTCCGCATCCATTTCAGTGTCTGCAGCTGCTGGGTCCCTGAGCACAGAGAATTTGCAGGATAGACGCAGGACCCTGGGGTCAGATTCTTTGGCGGGGGGGAGGGGGGAAATGGGGGGCGGAGGAATAGGAGCAAGGGGAGTCCAAAAGCATGAAGAGCTCCAGCAGTGGGTCCTGACAGCATGGGCGCAGCAGACTGGTAGAGAGGCTGGGCTGGGACGTGGCCTGAGGCGGAGACATGGCTGGGGACCGGAATGGAGCAGGGGACCGGCCGGCAAGCTTGGGTTAGGGGCAGCAGGAGGCGGGGTGACTCTGGGCCCCGCCCCGGAGGGCCGTTGAGAAAGTTTGCTATCAGATCCTCTGGGGCAGAGTCTGGGTGAGCGAGTTCAGGGGAAAGCGACAAGGTCCGGTTGCTGAGTGAGGTGGTTGGACGACCCGGGAGGAAAGCCTAAGGCCAGGAGCCGCGACCTCCGGAGCCCCTAGACTGGAGTCTTAGCAAGGACACCGCAGGATGCAGCCAGCCCAGTTGCGCCTTGCAAACCCAGGTGAGCTACGGGATCGGGCCGGGATTGTGCAAACCCGAGTCTCGGGCTGAGCGGCTCTGGGTCCACCCGGACCACTTTTTGGATAAAATTACAACCAAGTCAGGGCACGACAGTGACCTGAGCTCGCGAATGCCTCGCATCGAGCCACCCCCTCCTCTTCTCCAGGCCATTCACTCCAGTGACCTAGCCACCTCCCAAGGCTTGTGGAGAGGTATGGGATTCTTTTAAATTACAACCAGGGCTTTTAAAATGTAAACCCTGGGTGTAGTGAGCTGGCTTTCCAAGTTCCCTCGCTTTACGTGGGGCTAATTCAGAAGTCAGACGTCCTCGTGAGAAGAAAACCCGGGTATAGGGGATGGCTGTGGTTTTTCCCTCCAGGGTGGGGGTGGGGGTGTCGTTCTTTTAAGTTTTATCAGCTACAAAATTCCAGTTTTCTTAGCACTTCTCAAACTAGGCAATTAGGAGTGTCAGGCCCTGGAGCTGGAATCGAAAGGTGCCTGCCTGCAAGGCGATAATGAGGCTCTCGAGGGAAATTGGTATGTCTGTTCTTAACTGAGATAGACTAGAGGGAAGGTGGCTATTAACCGGTGCCTGATCTCTGTGTCCCTGTATCTCTGGCACTGGACACTCCTGATGCCATATCCCTTATATTTTGGAGTAAGAGGAGTATCTTGTCAGCTGTTTTAAGGGAATGCTTTGTTTGAACAGTAACATCATCCTGAATGGAAGTGTCTTCTACCTTGCACCGCTGTTCCCAGCCGGTGCTCTGAGACCTCCAGAATCAGTTACCATTCTAAAATCTAAAGTCTCCGCTATTGCATATCACCACCTACAAAACTTATCTATTCAAAGTTCCTTCCTTCGCAGGTGAAAGTTGCAATTCCTAGAAAGTGGAGTGGAGGGTTACATGGGGCAGGGAAATGGCGGGCAAGTGTGGCTGTGGTCAGGGCTGTTTTGTGAGGTGGCGGTGAGGGTGGTGGTGATGGTCTGTGTGTCTGCGCACACACGTGTGTGTGCATGAGTGTATGTGAAAGTGTGTGTATGTGTGTGAGTGTGTGTGTGAAAGTGTGTGTATGTGAACGTGAGTATGCCTGTGTGAATGTCTGTATGTATATGTGTATGTGCATGAATGCATGTGTGTGAGTGTATTTGTGTGCTGTTTGAGGAGTTATGGAGGTATCATCTATATCTGTAAGCTTTTTAAGGGGTGCAGAGCTCAGTTTGGGGTGAGTTACGTTGTCATAGAATCCCACTTTGGGTCTTCCCATCTGCAGATGCTCACATCCGGTCAGTGTCTCTCTGCCTCCACACATGCCAGAGAGCCCACCTGCAGAGCACACCTTAGGGACCCTCCATGGGAAGAATGGTGTCACAGCCACTTAGCATCTTTCCAATGTCATTTATGATTTTCGTTTACATACGTGACCCTCCTGGTTCTCTACCATATTTGGATATAGGAACTCTCACTTCCTGTGGAGCTCTATGTTCTGGCCTGATGACCCGCTTCCCAGGAATCAGGACTGCTCCTCTTTCTGGAAATCATGAGACTTTGTCCCACAGATCTCTTCATTGATGCCCAGTTTATGAACATATTTTTTTTGTTGTTACAAGAACAATCAAACTTTTGAGTGTGTCACAATTTTGACAATGTTGGGGTTCCCTTGTGGCCATTGAATTCCCTTTTCTACCAAAAGCTGAAAGCCATTCTTAAACAAACTGTTTGTGTTAGCTGGGATGTGGTGCTGGGGTCCCTGGATCTTATCATCGTGGCTACCTTCACGATTTGTGTTCATCAATTTTGGATTCATGTTATAGAAATGTAGAAAATTTTCCACAGCACTTGGAAGGGGTGTTCAACAGATGGACTGTGCTCCTTGGCTTTAAATGTTCCTTCCATTCTCCTGTCTTCAGAGTTATCTAAACATTCCTCCAAAGCTTCCAGACTGCTGCCCAGTAGCTTCAAGCAATTAGGCTGTAAAGACCTTCAGAGTCTCTTAGCACCTCCTAGTTAAGGGACCTATGACAAGTGACTGACTCATAAAAAGCTTAACCCTGAAGGGATGGGCTGGAACAGATGCCTGGCATTCAGCCTAGCCAAGCTCTGCCACCAAGACCACAGGATCCCTCCCAACCTCAGTTTCCCCATGTCCATTCAGAAGTCACATGCCATCTTGGGGACTAGATGTGACATGGAGAGACCAGGATGGACTTCCTGGGCAGGATACCTCTTGATTGTGCATGTCTTTAACTTTTTGATGGAAGATATCTACATATCTACATTCATTTTCTGGAAGCTTGGCAGCAAGCTGGTCCCCTGTCCTTACCAAGAACAAGCACAGTAGGGAGAATTTGATAAGACTGATTGGCAGGCAAAGGAGGGAAAGAAAATGCAGACCTTGCACCATAATCGGGTGCCTTCTTACAGATGAGTCTGTTGCCTCAGGATGTTCCCAGGGCACCCAACATTCTTGGGACATGACCTCCATATCTGGGGTTTCTTGGGCCACATCTGGATCTGTAACATCATCTTGTTTGCTAATGAGGACATGTATGGCAGACAACAGGCCCTGGAAAGCCCCACCTGGCAGGGGGACTTGTATGTGTGCTTGAAGGAAGAACACACACACACACACACACACACACACACACACACGTGCGCCTTCATCTGTGACCTTTACCTCTCAGGGCACTTCACTGATGAGCCTGATATGTGGAGCTGTGTGAGTGAACCCCTCATTTTGTCTGAGACTGTGTCTGGAGGCAGAGTGAGGCCAAGGCAGAATACCAGAGTGAGGCGGTCCATTAGCAGAGGAACTTTCCAGGACTGGGAGCCATGAACTGCTCGGCTGGTTATTTCATCTCTCCATTCTTTTAAATGAGAAAGAAAACAAAGCAAACTCCGGCTTTCTAAGAAACATTGCTCGCTGTCAAACAGTGGACGCTTTGACTCAGTTTAGGGGATGAGGTCATTGATGTCTCGGAGAGGACATGTCCCTGCAAACATGGAGTCCTTCCCCTCACCAAGGGAGATTTCTTTTTCTCTGAGAAAGAGAGAAGGAGGAGGGAGAAAGGAGTAAAAGAGAGAAGGGGAAGAAACATGAGACAGCAGAGATATTTCCCCCTGCTTTTTCTTCTTTTTACAGTTTGTTTACTTTTTAAGCTGACATATGGAGAAAGTGAGCCGCTAGTGCAGAAGGCACATCTGGAATCCATCGGACCCCTCTCCCAGGCCTGCTTCCCCCAGGGGATGCTGCTTTTGGATGGGGGGGTTGGGCATACCTAATATTGGCGGGGTCTCATGTGGGGTCACACACTATGGAGCCATTTGGTCAAGGTGTCTCCTTCCTTCTCGGCAAAAAGAAAATATGTTTGGTGTCAGAGTGCTTCAAGGACAGCTGTGTGACCCCAGCGTCGTGAGGCCAAAGTGGGAAGGCTCAGGTGACTGGTGCAGATGTGAACAGTGGCTCCCCTCCCGTTAAACACAGAGTGCCTGGGGACTCCAGTCCTGTCCCCATCAGATCAGAGGGGTCAGCACAGGGGGGAGGTGAGGAGCCTGCAGGGGTGCAGGGGTGTCAGCGTGCTTGCCATGCAAACCCTGGGAGTATGCTGGTGAACACAAGCAGGGAAGGGGCTGCAGAGGGATGTGAGCTGAGAGACCAGTGCTGCGGAGGGACCTCCCTATCTGCAGAGTATGACTCACATTTTAGAAGACACACAAACTCGTTAGTGTATGACCACAACCTCAACATCAGATTTCTTAAGAAAGAAAAAAACCCTCTCTGTGTGTGTGTGCATGTGCGCGGGCTCATGCATGCCAGCATGTGTGTGGGGGGGTCAGAGGACAACTTCGGGTGTCAGTCCTGGCCTCCCTCCTGGTTTGAGACAAGGTCTCGCTTGTCTCTTGTTCACCGTTATGTATACCTGGCTAGCCCATCTGCTGGCAAATCTGGCTATTCTTCCCCTCTCCTGGGGTCTCCCACCTCGTGCAGGAGTGCTGGGATTTCAGAAGTGCACCATCTTGCCTGGCTTTACATGCCACCTGGGGATACAGACTCAGGCTCTCAGCCCTTGCACAAAGTGCTCTGCATCATTTCCCCAGCCCAGGAGCTTCCTTTCCTTCCAATGGGAATGAATTAGCAGTTCAGTTTACAGGGTCATTGCTTCCCCAAGTGCAATGCAAGACTGCCTGCTGCGTCTACCTTTCCTTCAATGGGAGCCAGCACCTTGACCCGTTTCACAGGCTGAGCTAGTCCGAGCTGGACAGCTATTCGTGGGAGAGACCAGGACTTCCCGGTAACAGTTACGTCCCACCCTTTATACCAGTGTGCCCCTTAGAACCCAAGGGTGGCAGGCAAAGATGGAGACATGTATTCACCAAAAGATTGTGTGAGAAACAACACTTGGCCGAGGGGAACCTGCCCTCGTCTGTAAGTCAGACCCAGTAGAGGGTGATGTGCAGACACACAATGGATTGTGAGCAAGGAGTTGACTGCGTACAGAGACCTGGTTCGCATGAGCATTCAGGGGAAGGAAACATGCCCGATGCGGGGTATCCCGTGTGTTCATTTATATGCTGGAAGAAATGGAATAAATTCACTTGGGCTGGGAAACCCAGACAGTGGTCACACTGGGTGATGGTGGTGGCCAGCAGAGACCCCCCCCCCCGGTGGTCCTGCTGAAGATCTGAGTGCTGGTGTCAGGGTGCTTTGGTTGTCTGTGTGGTGTGGGTTAGACTGGCTTCCTGGGGCATTCTGTGATCACTTATTGACAGTACTGAGACATCATGCCTAGCCCTACAAAGAGCTCACGATACCCAAGGCTCAGCAAACTGGAAGTCTGCGGATGGCAGCCCTTGGGAACAGAGGAAAGAACTTCCGGGATCTGCTTCTGACCACACACAGTGATACCAAGATGTATCCAAAGTCAGCCGGTGTTTTGTTCAGGACTTAGCTCCCAGGATGTGGCCTGCTATGTGATAACCAGAGGAAATATATGTTTAGGTCCCAAAGAGACAGGGAGCTTCAAATTGCAAATGCAGAGAATCATATGTAACAAAAGATGTGCTATAAAATCTCAGCTCTTGAGAGATGCATTTTAATTAAGGGAACCATCATCCAAGCTTTAGTGGCAAAGTGGGCTAGCCTTCTAGCCTTTAGCCTTCACAAGTCCTGGCATGTCTACTCTCGTTTTTATTGTGGTTATTTAATTGCTAGGTGCTTGCTTTGTTTTTCTTTCACTCTGCTCAACCTTCTGTGTGCTCTTGCTGAGATCCCTGTGTCTCTTCCCCTTCTGTTCCTTCTACAGGGAGTCCAGATCGCCTCTCTTCCCCTCTGCTCACACTTGAGGCAAAAACCCAAACTGTCCAGGGAGAGATGAGGTGTGTGTGAGGCTGGGAAAGCTAGGCACAGGAGACAAGCCGAGTCAATAGAAGAACATCGCTAGGGCTAGGGAGATGGCTCAGTTGACCAAGTGGGACCTGAGTTCAATCCCCCAAACTCAAGTGAAAAAGCAGGTGTGGTGGTGGTGCACGCTTGTAATCCCAGTGCTGGGGAGACAGAGCCAGGAGGATTCTTGTGGCTTCTGGCCAGCCAGTCAAGCCTACTAGGCAAGGCCCAGGCCAGTGAGGGACCTTGTCTCATAACCAACAATCAAACAAACATCCAAGGTAGGCAGCATCTGAGGACAACACCCCAGATTAAGCCCTGGCTTCCACACATGTGTACCCATGTACACACCAAGGTTAACCTGAGTTTACTCATCTCCTCTAGAAAGAGAAACCTGGAGCTGAATATCAGTTTCCACTTGTACTGTGATCCAGGCCTTCAGACACAGAAACCCCTAATGGCAGAGCAGGTAGCCCAGGGACATTTTGAGACAAGCCTGGGCATGGTGACCTTGTGGATGGCACAGTTAGTCACATGATGGGTACGGAGCATAGCATCTTGAGGAACTGTGACAGGGGACAGCCCCCACAGGACATGAGGCTGGATACTGGTCATGACAATGACATTTCCTTCTTTGGTGTCTAATCTTGACTATCAACTCGATGGCATTTGCAATCAGCATGGAAACAAACTTCTGGGCACGTCTACTTTCTAGATCAGGTTAATGGAAATGTGTGGGCAGCACCATTCCATGGGACAGGGCCCTGAACTGAGCAAAGCAAAAAACAAAACAGAGGGGGGTGGGGGCGAGAAATGCCAGCTGAACACCAGCATGCATCTCTCTCTGCTTCCTGTCTATGGATGCAGTGTGACCGCGGTGGACTGCACCCTTGAACTGTGAGCCAAACAAGCCCTTTCCCCCTAAGTTGCTTTTGTCAGGTATGTGGTTGCATCCCAGAAAACTGTCACTGCTTATAATTTCTAGTCTTCAAATGAGAGCTTGCAATGTTCTTAAAGTGATGGCAGCCTTGAGGAAAGGTCATAGGGGCTGCCCTGACCCTAGAAGAAGCCATAAGATAAGTAGAATGTGACAGACAATGTTTAAATAAAAATCTGGAGGGGTAGGCTGGAGGGTGGGGTGAGTGTTCAGTTAGTAGTCAAGAGACTCTGAGTTCAACTCCAGCACTGCATAAAACCAAGTATGGTGGCTCCTGCTTGTAATCTCAGCCCTTTGGAAGTAGAGGCAGGGGGTCAGAGTTCAAGATCATCACTTCTAGGTCAGGCTAGGTTACATGATACCCTCTATCAAAAAAGGAGGAGGAGAGGAAGAACCATTACCACCACCACCACCACCACAAGTACCACCACCATAAGAACAACCACTAACACTACCACCCCTGTGATTGAGAGCAGAAAGGGACTTGCAGAATAGAGCTGCCTGCATCAGGCATCGTGAATATGCTAATTACTACTCCCTGCCTGGACCTCTGCATTTCAAGCCACACTCAAAGTTCATGTCATTCCCCTCCCTTTCCCCTTCTTCCCTAACCTCGGTTGGCAGCTGGTTCCAGGATGATTCCCAGTCCTTCCTCCCTAGGCTCTGCTCGGTGCAGTGGTCTCAGGGTTCTTGCTCAGCCTCAGGCTGTTCTTCCTGCCCTGCCTGTGCGGTCAGGCTGTGAGGCTGTCTGCCAGGTGGGCCAAAGGCCCATCCAGACTTCAAGGGAATTGGTCCAAGGAAGCATGGTGTCACTCCAAAACTCACCAGGGAGGACTCAGAACTCCTCAGACGCCATTCCCCCCTTCTGTGTGCTGATTTTCTCCACCTCTCCTTCTCTCCCTCTCATCCTCTCCCTCTGTCTTTCCTTCCTCTCTCCCTCCTCCTCTCCCTTTTTCTCATCCTGAGAAAAGTCTGATTCCCTCCGCAGCTGGGAATAGTGGTTTACCAGCTCCCACGTGGTGGGCGAGAACTAACTCAGTATTTCCTGGTGCCTGGAGGTTTCCAAGTAGAAGCTCGCTGGCTTCTTTCTTCTGCCTTAGTTTCCTGATTTTCAGATTCGCACACTGAGGTTTCCTCTCTGGCAACTGCAGGCCCCTAACCACTTTCCCTGGTCTCTATCTTACACATACGGCCGCCTTCCGACCCTCCCTGCACACCAGCCCTTCAAATGCATGAGCGTTTTCCACACTGACGGTCGGTTCACGGTGATTACTTGACCCAAGGTTCCTTTTTCTTTCGTCTCCTTGCAGATCCTATTCTCTACACTTTTGCTGGATCCAGGTTTGCACGCCTCCCGGAACCCACCACCACCATCCCAATTGTCCCCTGAAATGAACGTTCCTGGAGCGCCCTCTGGTGGACTGTTGGGGTGACCATCTGTCTTTAGGAAGTCATGGCAACGCATGCGCAGGCCCACCATCCCATCTTAGGAAATGATACTCTCCGGAAACATTACGATTACGTGGGGAAGCTGAAAGGCAGGCAGGACCCCCCTGATGATGGTCCCCCTATCACCACCATCCTCTTCTTGGTCACCTGTAGCTTCATCGTCTTGGAGAACCTGATGGTTTTGATTGCCATCTGGAAAAACAACAAATTTCACAACCGCATGTACTTTTTCATTGGCAACTTGGCTCTGTGCGACCTGCTGTCCGGCATAGCCTACAAGGTCAACATCCTGATGTCCGGCAGGAAAACGTTCAGCCTGTCTCCCACAGTGTGGTTCCTAAGGGAGGGCAGTATGTTCGTGGCCCTCGGTGCGTCCACTTGCAGCTTACTAGCTATTGCCATTGAGCGGCACCTGACCATGATCAAGATGAGGCCCTATGATGCCAACAAGAAACACCGGGTGTTCCTTCTGATTGGCATGTGCTGGCTGATTGCCTTCTCGCTGGGCGCCCTGCCCATCCTGGGCTGGAACTGCCTGGAGAACTTTCCCGATTGTTCTACCATCTTGCCTCTCTACTCCAAGAAGTATATTGCCTTCCTCATCAGCATCTTCACAGCCATTCTAGTGACCATAGTCATTCTGTACGCCCGCATCTACTTCCTGGTCAAGTCCAGCAGCCGAAGGGTGGCCAACCACAACTCGGAGAGGTCCATGGCTCTGCTACGCACTGTAGTGATCGTGGTGAGTGTGTTCATCGCCTGCTGGTCCCCTCTTTTCATCCTCTTCCTCATTGATGTGGCCTGCAGGGTGAAGGAGTGCTCCATCCTGTTCAAGAGTCAGTGGTTCATCATGCTGGCTGTCCTCAACTCTGCCATGAATCCTGTCATCTACACTCTGGCCAGCAAAGAGATGCGCCGTGCCTTCTTCCGGCTGGTGTGTAGCTGTCTAGTCAGGGGCAAGGGGACCCAGGCTTCGCCCATGCAGCCTACTCTTGACCCTAGCAGAAGTAAATCAAGCTCCAGTAACAACAGCAGCCATTCTCCAAAGGTCAAGGGAGACACGCCCCACATGGCCATCACTTCCTGCATCACGGACAGAAACAGACCGCTTCAGAATGGGGTCCTTTGCAAGTGACCATCCTCAAGGCCAACTCTGCAGTCAAACGTATTTACTGCATGCATTACTTCCGTGTGGGCTCTTAGAGACCTTGACTTTGGAGGTCTGCTTGTCGTGGCCACAGTGTGGGCATCTCCTGAGGAGAGGACCTGAGGAATCATCCGTGCATGTCAGCCTGGACATGGACGTGCCTTATCTGTTGCAGGCTCCATCCTTCTGAATGTACCAAGCTGCTGACATCATCTACTGCCTTTGGATGCCGCTCTCCCTGGTCCAGAGAGAGGGCAGGTGGCAATGTGCTATGCACAGTGCATCTTGGGATGATGTCTTGTTATTTTCACACTACATTTATTTTTCGTAGATTCATATTTTCATGGGTGCTCATGTATGTGTTTGTCTATGTCTGTGTTGCATAGGATGTGTACACCAGGTTTTCCCAGATGGAGCCCGCCTGAAGTGTCAGTCCTCCACACGTCCGTCATGTAACTGTTTCTCCAAACCTGCCTCCACTGATGTGCCAGGTTCAAGGTCAGCACGTGCTGAGGTGCTGTGCCCTCCCCAGTCCTCTGGCACTGGCGTTCTAGCTACAGTGATGAAACGTTACTAAAGCTCAGTATTCTTAAAACCCTTTCCCCAAGAGAAGCTCAGAGGTGTTCCTCTTACCCTCACAGTCCTGTGTCCCTCTCTCGTGTCCCATGCATAAGCTTAAACACAACTGAAAGCCAAATTATGTGATAATTTGGGGGCATTTCTGAAAAATGACAGAAAAGCCAGCCAGGATATCTCAGACTCCTGGTAGACCACTAAAGAAGGAGCCCATGAGGAAGAGGTGCTTTCCACCCTGGTTCTCCTTTGCAAGGGACTGGATTTCCAGCAGTGAGGTTTACAAGACAGTCCTTCGGCTGTGTGATGCTGAGTTCAATTCTGCATAGAAAAGCTAGATGCCAAGCGCCCCCTTTGCTGTCACTGGCAAGGAGCTAGAGCTGTCAGCAAAGTTTCTCAACTCCTTCAACATGGGTCCTGACCAGGGCCATTCAGTGAGAGGACTCCGCCAGGCTAGGAGGTGTGATGTGGTCTTTGTGCATTCTTCGGAGAACCATCACCATTCTGTAACGATAGACGCTCCCATCACTTGGACCTGCATTCCTTCATCCACCTTGTAAAGGCAGTGCTCAGAAGGCACCTCAGAACCACCACTCCCCAAGGACTCCAACCACCACATGACACGCAGATGGAAAGTGGATGTGTCTGAGGGCGGGGCTGGCCAGCACCCATGATCCCAGAGAAGCCTTCAAAAGGACTCTCACTGGCGGAACCTCGTGTCAGAGGTCCCCATAAGTTGATCAACATTAGAGACCATTGCCTTGTGAACCCTGAAAGGACAGCCTTTACACACCAGGGACCTTTTAAAAGCTGATTTTACTCTTGGTTGCCTGATGGCATTTGCTCTTGCTTAGGGATTTTTTTGTGTGGTTCCTAGGTAACCATGGACTGATTGGCTAAAGAGTTTCGTTCAAGTCACTCCTGGTGGATATTGAGTTTGGCCAAGATGTTCTGGTGGGTGTCACGCTGCTCTCCTCTATACATCACTGAAAAAATACCTTATTTTCTTGTCACACAGCACTGACAAAACCCAAGGCATTTCTGGGAAAGCATGAAGGTGCTGGGTTAAGGAAAACAAACCAAACAGCAAACAACAAGCAAAGAAGAAAAGCAACAGACCAGCGTGTAGGAAAGTTGAGGTGGAAACCAAAGGGCTTGAGGACATGCTCTTTCATAGCTGGGATGCTTTGAAGCCACGGACCTGGGTCACTAATATCAATAACACATGTCGCATGACCCTGCCTTGTGATATTCTCCTATGTCTGTTTTCCTTCTGCAGCCCTTGCAGGGAGCCATGCCCCCTGTTTCCACTAGGAGGCAACAACATTTGTAGCATGACAGACTTTGAAGCAACTGAAGTTAAAAATACACTAAAATCTAATTGCACTCACTTGATGTACCCAAAACTGATCGATCACCTGTGATGCTGGTGTGCATTGCTTTCCTAGCTAGCCACCTGTGTAGCATTTAGACATTACCTGTGTCCAAGCCCTCACCCTGATGGTCAGAAACAAGTGTCCTGACACCAGGGAACTTGGGACCCACCCAGGGCTGTGAGCAACCTTTACTACTTACAGTTTATGTTTATTAATAATAAATAAAACTAAAAGATTTCATATGAAACCCATTCTCGGGGTCTGTGTGGTAGACTGTCTTATTGCTTTTCAGTAGACACTCAGGGGCATAATGGAGTGGTCTTGCCTCTCCCTTGGTACCTGGTTGCACAGCATTTCAGGAATAGATCACATTTAGAAACCCAATTACTATGTCCCATTATTCTTCAGCCCCATGTCATAGATGATGCTAGAATGAAGCTTTAGTGTACTGGATGCTGCTGATACCAGTCTGGGAAGATCATGTTTTCCTGTTGGTGGTGGTGGTAGTGGTGGTGGTGGTGGTGGTGGTGTGTGTGTGTGTGTGTGTGTGTGTGTGTGTGTGTGTATGTATGTATGTATGTATGTGTGTGTTGTATGTGCACATGTGTGTTATTGTGCATGCGGGAGTAGAGGCCAGGGATTGCTGTTGGATCTCACTCTATGGCTCTCCACCTTATTTTTTTTTGAGACACTTAACCTGAGCTGCCTGTTGGCTAGACTGACTGGCCAGCCAGCCCTTGCAATCTGTCTCCCTCCCTGCTGGGGTTATAGACACTACCTGCCGAGTATGTCTTTTACATAGGTACAGGGCATCTCCATGGAGCCATTTCCAGCCTAGGTCCCGTGTTTTGAAGAATGGTAGTAGCTCCCTTTTAGGGAAGAAATTATAAAATAAAAAATAAAAACATTGTCCAAGCAGAGGGCATCAGAGATGGGGAACCAGGTCAGCGCCAGCCCATGGATGTGGCTCTCTGTCTTACAAGTTGTTACTCATTAGCCCCTAACTTGCATCCTGCTCAAGGGGGATCCATGTTTGGTGTGACGTTCTGGAGACTGCAGTTGCTATAACTTGTAGTTTGAAGTCCCCAGTGCAGACTTTCCCCTGTCTCTCACCTCTGACCCGCCCACAGCCATCTGTGTTCCAGATCACAGAGTTGGTGTGAATCTTGTGTTTCTGCCAAATCACCATGTTTTCTTCTGAGGAAAAGGAAACTTTCAATCTATCCTCCTGTTTTCTGTGAGGCATAAAAGATGCAGGGCTGGTGAGTTGAGTCAGTGGGCAACGGTGCTTGCCTCCAAACTTGAGGGTCTGAGTTAGATCCCCCAGGAACCACATGATAGAAAGAAAGACCTGACTCCCATGAGTTGCCCTCCGATGCCTACGCATGCACCATGGCACCATACAAAGGTAAGCTCCAACACGCAAACAAGTGACACTTTTCACAATAGCCTTTATTGCCAACAGACTTACAACTATAGTCACTGAAACAATTAACTAGTTAGAAATGGTTGCTTGTCTCAATCTTTGAGCCATGATTATTCTGTGTTGGGAAAGAGCCATTCACAGAAATGTAACAAGGTGCATTTTTAGAAAATGTCTAATTACATTGCTGGTTCCATGCTTTGGAAACTGTATGGACAAGTGCAAACCTCATCATCCAAATGTTTTAGTGTCTAAGTAGAGATTCAGAGGGGCTGCTATGGAGTCAGAAATGCATGGATGGCTGTCTAGATGATGAAGGCACATGTCCCAGTACCTAATAATAACAAGAAGAGCAGCATTGTCTGGAGTAGATGGCCTGCCACCTGCCATACCTGGGCTATGGGGAGGCGATGCTATATACTGCCTCCATTCGGTCATCCCAGAAGCTTGGGTGCGGTGTGTCAGGCCCATGATGAAGGGCATAGACACCACTCCCCAAAAGAGCAAGATGGAGTCCCTGGGGGTAAGGCAGCCCAAGCCAATAACCTTTGCCTGTTGTATCTTGGGATCTCCAAATGTTCACAAATCACATAAGTTTTATCATAGAAAAATATTAGAAAACTTGAAATTGGTTTTATATTTCTGCTCCTCACAGGTGACTCAGGAAGCCAATTCCATGCCGGTATCAAAGTAGAAAGGTATGGGTTGGCCATAAGCCCAGACAGACTGCTGTTACAGTTATTGTCTGTGTCTCACAAAAGTTAACAGAAACAAAAAAAAAATTCCAAATATTCATATCTCAGTATGTATGGCCATCCAAATGCTTTTGAAAAACAAATACCTTGTTACACAGTACATTTATGCTGAGCTGTCTCCTAATCCGGGGTCCTTAAACACCAGATGTTTAATTCTGAACACAAAGGAACTCACATAATTTCACAATACTCTAAAACAAGTTAGAGCTGAGAGTCAGTTGAACAGAGAACAACAGTCAATTGGCAACTCACACATAGTGTTAAAAGGAGAAAAAGAAGAAGAAAAGAAACTCATCGCCCAAGCCTGGTTAGTCCATTCATCCCTGCCTTGTGAGCTGTCGCTTGTCTCCAGTGTCAGTGGCTTTGGTTGTGGGGAAGTGCCGTGGGTACAGTGTGAACTGGTACCTTGGAAGGTTCACCCCACAGGATGGTCCTCCATGCACGGTGGGTATACAAAGCTGTTCGTGTCCTGTGGCTTCTCTCTCGCCCTAAGACAAGAATCATTAGTGTGTTTGGGGGAGTCTCAGATTCACTTACCCAGGGCATCTGAGCAAGAGGAAAAGCAGGCTCTCCACAGCCCTCAGCATCCTGCTGTCATCAGCAGTTAGTTCCCATGCAGGTTTGGTTGCATCTTCAACTTTTGTGCCCTTTGCTGCCTCTCGGCTCCACAGCGCCACCTACTGTGCAAAGTCTTCAGACCCCCCCCCCCCCAGCTCAGTCGTGACTCTTGGGTCTTATATAACTGGATGTGGGCACACCAGCGCTGAAAGGCTTCCACGCTCCAACACTCTCACACTTCCCCGTGTGTGTTAGGAGTGGGGTTAAATTATAGGCAGGGGTAGATCCACCTAGGCCTCCTTTGTCCCAAGAGTCCCTCCAGGGCCAGGAAGGCTGGCGAGCCAAGTCAGGCTGTGCCTGAACAGTGCGGGAGCCAGAAAAGACGTGGGTCCGCGGTTGTTTTATCTGCTTGTCCTTATCTTCTGCTGACTGCTCCCCACCCTTCTGTTTAGTTGTTGAGACGCAGCCTCAATAGCCCTGGCTGGCCCTGAACTACGGAGGCTCCAGCCTCTACCGCCCAAGTGCTGTAGTTGCAAACATGCATCACTAGATCTGGCTTGCTATCCCCTCTGCTGTGACCCACAGAGACAAGACACTCCTCCCTCACTTTCCTTGTAGCCCATTTCTTCCCTTTTTGTGCCATGGTCTCACGGCCCATAGCACCCAGAACCCTGTTCCCTGGGTCTGCTGATGAGAGCCTTTTAATCCCCAAGCTCTCGACGCCATTTTGATTTACAGTTGTTGGTATCAGAAAACCCCAGAGACTCAAAATACCCAGCAGAGAGTTGATCTGTGTGTGGGCCCACACATGCTGAGGAGCACACTCCATCTGAAGCAAGGAAAGTTTGTGTGTGTGTGTATATAATACACACATGCGGTTCACACTCGAAAAACTTGGTATAAAGTTGCAAGTTTTTTTTTTTTTCTGGCTGCTATAAAATGTGCCAGTTTTAAAACTGTGCATTTGTTGCTTGCAAACTTATAAATATGTATAAACCCCATTATAAATAAATCTTGTCTGGCAGATGGCATTTTATCTGCCAGCCACAGTTGCAGGGAGTTATAAGTACTTATTAATTCTCCATTTTTAAATTCACAGCATGGACCTGGGATCTATGATGTGAAGTGTGTGAAAAATGCTTCATAAAAGGTGGGGTGGGGTAGAGGAGTAGGGACCACCAGTAAGAGTCATGGAAGGGCTGGAGACTCTCACCAGTCAATGTCAAAGCCCCTGGCACCGGCTTATCCCCATGCTGAAAGTGCAAGCATGCTGTCCTCGCTCTAGGCCCCCTGAGCTGGGAGCTGAAGGGACAGAGCCCTGAAATCTTAGCGTGGGCTAAGCAGCCCGATGCCTCAATGTCTGCCTTCTGCTCTGAGACTGTTTATTAGAAACACCAGCCCTGCCCCAGAATGCCCCAGCTTGCAGAGGGTGCATGGGTATGCACAGGGCGGGGCAGAAATCACTGGAGAGAGCCTTCCACCCATGCTGGTTCTGGGGGAGCCCCTTCCTTGCCTCCTCCACTAGCTACCTCAGGGATACTCAGTTCTGCTCCCAAGACTCAGCAACAGGTAGATGTACTTTTGTTGGAAACATGTTCCACAATGCAATCATTCTCCATCAGCCACTTCCTACCTGGCTCCTGGGATCATTTCCAAAATAAGATGTATGTACCCAGATGATGCCCCTTCGTGAAAACACCAACTAAGTAACCAAACACAAGTCCTGTCTCTCTCATGTGAATAGCTCAGTCCTCCGTGTGTTCAAAATGTGAAATATGAGGGCAAATGGGCTGCTTGTTGCTTCCATAGAGTGGGTTACACGTCTGAGTCTCAGAAGGCCCTCATTAAGTCCTGTATCCTTGCCTAGATCTAGCTACTGATCATTGCCATCCACTGCCTTGCTCAGTTTCTTCGTCTGAAAAAAAAGGGTCCCTCCAAGACAGGTGAACTGTCTGTCTTGGAAGCACCTGCCCATTATCCCAGACAAAGCCATGAGTTCTAGGTTTGTAATATGTTCCAGGAGTGGGGTTTATCTACACTGTCTTTCTTGGGAAACACTTCAAAAGTTTCATAAGAACTAGCATCACACAGATTTGTCTGGGCACATGATCTCTTTTGCAATCTTTCTTCTATCCTCCTCCTACTTAAAATCTGGCTGTCACCATCCACAGAAGTTGTTTATAGATGGCATGCCATCTTTGGCCTATGGGGGAGAAGAGAAATATGCTTTGTGAATGAAAAGTCCCAGGAAGTCACCTTCCATGCATGTCACATATTTATCAACCCACACCACTCTTTGAGGAAAGTCCCAGGGTGTGGCACAAGCCATGTCTCAGAAGACCCATCTGGTAGCCAAAACCACGCTGTTCTAGCTCTGTGGTTGAGCTATGCTCTTCTAGTTGTACTGAGGCTGAGCTTTGCCGAGGTGGTCACTGCTCCATCACTATCTTGGGGAAGTTGGGTTTCTCTCAAATCAGTCCAACAAGAAGAAGATGTGGTCCTGGTTCTAACATGGCCACTCCCACAAGGAAGCCTCCTGGGGATCTGATGCTGCCATGGGAAAGGCTTCCCTCTGGAAAAGGGGGCATTTTCAGGACACCCAGATTGACATGGAGCCTGGACACATGGCAACTGTGACATGAACCCTGTGGGCTTTGGGGGATTCATTCTCCCTTGTCCTTTCTTCCCTTCCAACCTAGGCTTTTCCCTTGGTCCATCGTTTAACACAGCCTTCACTTACAACTGCCTCTGTTGCCAAGAGAGAACCCCCACACACAGCTGCCCCATGTGACCTATTTGGCATCAATCCATCTGCCCACCGTTTGAGATAGCCTGTAATAGAAAGTGGCTCATCAAGGCTGAGCAGGCACCCAGCTCTTGGTCCTTTAAATACCAAAAGGACACCATGGTAACATAAGTGTAGATTGAAGACTGAGATACTTGAATGTCTCCTTAGCAGGCTGCCCACCTTATGGTGGAGGGATAAGAATCAGAGCCAAGCTAGACCATGATGAGCAGTCCCCTGGGGGGCCCAACCTCACCAGCATGGAGAGGCTATGTAAAAGCCCAGCTAACTCTCCCAGGAGGGCAAGGGAAGGAGGGACTAGGCAGAGGCTTCTGGGCCACTGTGCAAGAGCAGATGGGGCCTTTAAGACTGTTGAGCCCCATCATGCACCACTAATAGATGCAGAGTGCTGGGTTGTGAGGCAGAGTGCCCACAATAAGGAGCACAGGATTCTGGGTGGTGTGTAGTGCCCATAAGAAGGAGCACAGGATCCAGGCAAACCTCCCGTGCTCATGCCTGGCAGAGACTCAGCCACTGTGCCTGGGAGTCAAAGGCCTCAGTGTACCATATAGTGCTGGGGCTGCTGCCCTGTAGCCTGTAACCCTGCCCTACCTAGGCAGTTGTGGGCAGAGACCGAGGGAAAGGGGACTCAGGCTCAAGGAGGAGGCTCTTTTGGGTTTACCTTCAAGCCTCAAAGCACAGACTAGCCCACAGCTGTGCACAGAAAACACTGACTGAGTAGAATGGTTCTGCTATCAGCTGACCAAGGGTTTCCGTGTGTGTGTGTGTGTGTGTGTGTGTGTGTGTGTGTGTGTGTGTGTGTAAGCGATCTGTGAGGGAATGTCTCATCGCATACACACTGTAGAAGGAAATGGTAAACCTTTGACTTGCTTTACAGGAAACACAGGTCAGAACATGACTGCCATGTAACAACCTCTACAATCTGCCTTGAGTCTGAAAGACTTTCCAGTCCTGTAATCTGAGGTCAAAATTCTACATTTAGAGTTAAAAATGGAAAGAAAAACATTGGCCCCAAGACTTTAAATTTTCTAAATCAAGTCCTATAAATCCCACCACCCTCAAACTCAACACTGACTTCAGAGAAGACAACTGTGACTTCTGAGCAAATGCTGAGGTGCCCACAGTCTGGATCATTTTACTGGTGACTTGAATATAGGCATTTTAGCCTTGGAAAACATTTGAGAATGGGGGGGGGAGGTAATTATATACATTTTTATGTAGTATACATTCACACACACACACACAAGAGCACACAGAAGAACCTATACGTGTGTGCACAAGGCATAGTCTTCTGAGGGACAGAATGCAGGGTGACTCTTAGGAACACCCCAAAGCCCATGTATGTGGTCACAGGGCAAAAGCCTGAGCCAGGGGCTACCAATGTATCTGCTCAACTCCAGGGCTTCGTTTTGTAGTGTCTGTCACCAACACCAGGAAGTAGTAAGACAGTGTCTGTTAAGGCTAAGTTCCCCGGAATTCTAATTCTAGAACATTCTACTGCCAACTTGGATTCAGTGGGCCCTCAAGGGCAAAAACTGAAAAGAGGCCTTTATGTACAGAGCCTGGGATCTTGCCCACCTGGATTCACCAGTGAGCACCTAACTGACCACAGTACAGCAAAAGGCCTTAGAGCCGTGCAGAACCCTGATTTGCCTAATGTATTTTTCCCCTTAACTATGCCTTTAAAAATATTAATTTGCTTTTATATGTATGGGCAGTTTTGCTTGCAAGTATGTATGTGCATTGTGTGCTTACTTGGTGCCTATGGAGTCCAGAAGAGAATAGCTACCATGGGACTTGAGCTACAGACAATTAAGAGCAACCATGTGGGTGCTGAGAATTGAACTTGAGTTCTCTACAAGAGTAACCAATGTTCTTAACCACCAGATTTCCCCCTCTCTTTCTCACTCTCTTTCTCTGTATGCACACACACACACACACACACACACACACACACACACACACACAACCCTTTTAAAACATCCAATTTCTGACCATCCAACACTGAAGTGTACAGAGTCCTATGCTTCCAATCACACACATGGGGAGGGTCTCATGGGGACCAGGACCCAGGTTGTTGTCCTAAGAGAAGGCACCAACCAACAAATGCATCAACTGCCTGTGTTTGTTAAGTCACAGAGTGATCATAACCTAAATGTTCTTACATCACAGACACAGCCAACTTTGGAACATGAAATCGCCCATAATGAACCAACAGCTTCTGGAATAGTAGGAAGAGGGTCAAGACAGGGGGCCATGGGCATGGTCCCTTTTCACTTGGGCTACTGAGCTCATCATCCCTCACTCCAGATGGTTCCAAAGACTTTGGAGCACAGTGCCGAGCACACATGGACTCGGGAGGAACAGCCAGTTGGTGTGTCTCCAAGGCTCAATGCTGGGCAGAAGTTGGTACCTGTCTTGCAAGGCTCTTACACGTGCTTTTTGTTCTACTGAATACAAGAGGTAGGTGGGAGGCCACTTCACCAGCACCTTCTATGCACAGCCTGTGATGAACAACCAGTGTATTCTGCATGTCTGAAGTCATTCAGTCAGTCATGCCAGTGTGTCTATATGCATGAAGGACACACAGAACACACAGACTAGGAACATTTTCCATAGCCTGCCTTCACAGACACTCATCCCCATCACTATGCTGATGAAAACAAAAATATTTGTCAATCAGAGATCTGAAGTCTTATTTGTCCTCAAATGAATACCCCCCAATACACACACACACACACACACACACACACACACACACACACACACACACCTGGGAGTCAAAGATAATAGGTCCCCATGACCCAAACAATATGGGTCAAACATGACCCAAAACATGACCCCCCCCCAAAAGAGACAAAGTACCATCTGCTTTGCAGTGGGGCTTCAGTGGGTCATCATGTGACAGGAAACCCACTCACATGGCACATATCTAGGGTCACAGAAGGCAGCACCCAGCAAACTGCAGTCAGAGGAGGCACCTCTGTCTGTGAGTAGAGCTGCAGCCCAGAGCCAGCAATCACATGGAGCCCTAGGGGCAGGGGCAGATGTTTGGGCAGCATGCTGCTGTAGTCTATCATGAGTCTGTTTGTCCTGGAGCTGCCAGCTCACCTGCATTCACCTCATATTGTGCTTATTATTTAGAACTACAGGTTACACCTTCCTAGCAAAATTTCCCAGTAGGTCAGCTGAATTAACTTTTTTTTTTTTTTTTTTTTTTTTTTTGCCTAAACAGCTACAGTCAAATTTGCCTCTCACTAAAAACATACAGCATAGAGCATTAGTCTCACATCTTTCTTAGTCTTAAAAAATATAAATATAGGGGCCATTTGTACAGGATGTGTGGGTATATACACCTCTAATATGCATCTGAGATGTGTAGAATGTGTTTAAGAATTTGAACGTGAAGGAAACCTCCCAGGGGTTTGAAGAAGGTGATGAGCCCAAAGGCAGCTGCCCCGGTTCCCATAGGCTGAGAGCACTGGAGCCCAGGTCCTCCTGACCTGGCACAAGGCATGGAGAGGTTGCTGGACCAGCTCAGTGTTTCCTCTCCACTGGTTGCTGGAGGCAAAGCTCACTCCCGGCAGAGACGATGGGCAGGCTGCTCTCAAGATGGTAGTTGATGAGGTGACTGATGCTGTCAAAGACCCTGTCCTTCGTCCGGATCTGTGAGGATGAAATAAGGCAAGGTTGAATGGCTGTTGCATGAAGAAAAGAAAGGACTCTTTGTGGTAGAGCTACGTGGACCATCTGACCCTGCCCAGGAAGGTAAAGGGGGGAGCAGGCTTCCTGGACCGGAGGGCTCGCCACACTTCAGAGATGATTTCTGTACAGACCCTGGTCACCGATATCAGCTGTTCACCTACACCAGCCGTCACTGACATCAGCTGGTCACCGATAGCAGCTCGTTAGTTTAGTGTGCTTCACCCGTCTGTCCCTCTGAGACAATCTTTGAATATTTCAATCCACTGCCCTGTAGACACTGCCTATCTCATTCCTCCTCTCCTTCGCCTCACTGGAACAACACAAAGGAAATCCCAGCTAATGAAGACAAGAAAATACAATAAAATATAGGCTAGGAAAGGCATCCATGTGAGAAAAAAATAAAGACCTTATATCTGTTCAAATGTTAGCTCAAATGTATTAAACAGAAAATCGTGAAACTCTTAGAAGATGATATAAGGGGGCATAAAATGTAGACAACTACAGCATCAAATAAAAGAAAATAATGGCAAGTTCACAGAGGAAGCCTTCAGAAGGGGATATTAGGAGAATGGCTCAAGGTCAGGGGCAGCCATGATGAAACCTTAGAGAGGCAAGCATTAGGAGAAAGAAGATACTCTACTACCTTCAATTATGTATGACTAAAGGAGTTTCTGATTCATAGGCCTTCCCTTCTGAAAGAATGGAAGGAAGTTTCAATGTGACTGAGCCAACGTGCCAAAAGTCAAGAAGGTACTGGTAATGATCATCTATTTCAAGGTGTTTATGTATGTATATATGTATGTGTATATATATAATTGGTAGATAGCTAATAGATAGATGATAGATAGGTAATAGATAGATGATAAATAGATGATTGATAGATAATAGATTGATGATACGTGGGTAATAGATAAATAGATGATAGGTAGATAGATATGTTCTTTTGGTATCCAAAGAAAATTGGTCCCAAGATCCACTACTGTGGTAATTTGAATGTAATTGGCCTCATAGACTCATAGGCAGTGGCACTATTAGGTGTGGCCTTTTGGAGTAGGTGTGGCATTGCTGGAGGAAATGTGTCTCATTTACTTCCTGCTGCCTGTGGATCAAGACATAGAACTCTCAGCTCCCTCTCCAGCACCTTGTCTGCCTGCTGCCGCCATGTTTCCCACCATGGTGATAACAGACTAAACCTCTGAAACTGCAAGTCAGTTCCAATTAAACGTTTTCCTTCATAAGAGTTGCTGTGGTCATGGTGTCTCTTCACAGCAATAGACACTCTAAGACAGCCACAGATATCAAAATCCAGGGCAGGTCAAGTCCTTTATATATAAAATGGTTTACCACTTGCATAGTATACACACATCCTACCATAGACTCAAAACTATCCCCAGATCTCCTGTTGAGATACAGGCCAGAGGCTGCCCCACCCCCAAACAGTCTTTCTGGGACAGAAAGTGATAAAACTGTGACCTTGCAGCTCTCACTGGAATTCATTTTCCTACCTTCCACTTATAGCTGTGAGAAAGTCCAGTCCCCAGTCTCTGGACCAAGGACAACCTTGACTTATAGCTTCATTTTTATCTAGAGCTTTCTTGCCCTTTCATGCCTGGCACATAGACCAGGCCAGGCTAGGTCATGGTAAGGAGCTTACCGCTGTGCACCACACTGAAATCCTATGAGACTCAGAAACCCCCATTGTCCTTGGGAATTGAAGGGCCCTTCCTTCAGGACTCCTTCATGCTGTTTGTGATAGCTTGTCTTTTGATGCAGCTCCCTTAGGGGCTTTGGAAGTTCTCTCTCCCTTCAGGACCACAACCTGCCGCCTCTGGACCAATGCCCTCTCTCCTAACAAAGGGGAACCCTGTTTTAGCTTCCCTTTTCTATGAAACCTGCTGTTCTCCCTGACATGTATAATGCCATGGACACAGTTGCTCTCCTGCTATCTGGGGATAATGGCAAGAAGATCCTATGCACTCAGTGTAGACAGTTTTTCCTGAAGTCACAGCTAGCCATAGGAGATCCTGTCACAGATAGTTCCACCTTGAAATGTTGTCTCAGAGGGTCTGTGGTTGAAGACAATACCAGTCTCTCATCCCAAGAAGATAACTGTCTTCACTCTGTTTCCCACAAAACCCTGCTGCAGGCCTTACCCTATCTGTGGGAGCCCAGCAGACCTTAGAAGGTGCCCTGTGTCTGTGAGGCCTCTGGGGTTGGAGTGCCATCTGACCAGTGGCAGTAGAAACCTTCAATGGTTTTGGGAGCAGTGGTGAAGACAAGACCATTACCCACAGTGTTCCCCAAGCTGTCTCCCACCACACTCTGTCATCAAAGACAGTATCGGATCCACACACAGGGAACGCAACTGTGCCTCTACCTCTGTGAAACTCCGCAAGCTCAGAGTCCTCCTGGAGAGGAGGAATTGGCCTCTCCCTGTAGCCAGGCTCTCTTAGGCAAGAGTTAAGGCAGGATGCCAGCCTGTCTGAAAATGCTTCCAGGTGAGGCACCTCCAGAATCCATGAGGTAGAACTTGTGCCTTTATTGCCCCCTTGTGGCCAGAAGTTCACACTGTTAGAGAACTGGAAATTTTCTAGGGGGTGGGGGGGGGAGCTGGGCATCTCAAACTCTGGAGAGGCAGGTGGATCTCTGTGAGTTCAAGGCCAGACTGGTCTACAGATCTAGTTCTAGGACAGGCTCCAATGCCATACATAGAAATACTGCCTCAAAAAAAATTTTCTAGGGGGAGGTTCCTTCAATGTGGTGCCTGGAAAGACAGCAACACTGTCACTCAGAACTCTAACAAGGATGCCACAATGTACATCCCAGAAAGAAGCAGAGACAGACAGGCCCATAGCATGCCAGCAGCTCCACATTTCTCCCAAAGAAGGATTGCTAAACAGTCCTTCCCATATTGGACCTTCATTGACAGGGAAGTCATACTAGTCCAGGGCCAAAGGTGACTTACACAACCACAGTAGCTGGCGCCTTCATTTCTGTATTTCTGTACGCATAGTCCCAGTGGGAGCTATCACCCAGAAAACTGAGCTAAAGCCTTAGGCCATTGTGTCAAGCAGAGGGACCAGTCCTTTCCACCCCCAGCAAGGATGACACCCAGTCTAGTCAGAACTAGGCCTCCACAGGAGAGGAGTACCCAGGCAGGAACTTGCCTATGGTGACCAAGCACCTGGCAGCGTCTGCAGAGGTCAGAAGCTGGGAAGAAGGTGCCCCACACTGTGCTGGCCTGGGACACATGGTAGGGGTACAGAATTCCAGGCAACCATGGCCTTCTCACAGCTTTCATTCTGGCTTGGTGGCATGTCCCAGTGACAGATAGATGAGTACAGAGGCCATTTCTGGGCTGGGCCTCATAACAGCAAATATGCACAGACTTTCCCAGTGTGATGGGAATTGTTGCCGCCGAGGGAACAAACTCAACCCAGAACCTCAGAACATTCTCTGGTCAACACGGAGGCCTCTACTGACCTTCAGCCCATTCCTTCTAGATCTAGTGTCCCTTTCATCCTAGTACCAAGAGAAATGACAGCTGGGCACTAGACATGGAACACATAGCTCCAACCCCCCACTCATTCACAAGTATCTGAAGAAATGAGACGCACTGTCTATAGAGAACAACAGTTCCCCAGGAACTTCTGAGAGGTGTTGAAATTCCAAATCTCTTCCCCCTCTGTGGGTCAGACACCCTACTCCATGTGTTTCTGTCCTCTCAGCCCCCCCCCCCCACACACACAATGTCAGGGACAGACACAGGGAAAAAGAACTGAGATATCACAAGGACACCAACCAGCACAGCATCCTGTTCCTAGGTACCGCCATGAGCACATCTGACAAACACATCACAAAGAGAACAGACCAATCCCACCTCAGATGATAAGTCAGAAGCCACAAAAAATTCAACTGATATCCATGACATTAAAACAAACAAATTACTACATCCATTAAAGCAAACTATGAAAAAATAATTAAGGGATAACGACTCCTTTAGAAATTAAATACACAATTTGTAAGAGTGTACAAACGTATGCTTGTATGCCACAGAGAGGGTGTCGATAAGCTTGGGAAAGCTCCGAAGAAGCAGAAACCTGAGGGAAAAGTCTTTACACTCCTGCAGCTCTCCAGGAAGTTCTCTTTTAATGTTCTTAATGGCAGAGATACACCCTGATCATATTTATAAGCAAGATGACAAGGGGTCAAACGAGAATACGCTGCAAAGTATTTGAAATACATCTCCCTTTCCTTAATTCCTATTCTTTTCCTTCCTGGAAAATCAATACAATATAAAGACAAAATAGTCATAGGGAGTGGGCGTAACCACAATGAGCCAACTGTGGTTTCAGATCCCGGCTGCAGACGTGTGAGAGTGCACACGCAGGTGATCTAGCACAGGTGATATAGCATGGCGATCTAGCACACAGGCGATCTGGCACGGGTGATCTAGCACAGGTGACACATGATCTAGTGCAGGTGATCTAGCATAGGTATCAGAGAACGAGTGGAGACACAGAAAGCCCTAGTGACTGTAGAAGTGACGCCACCATACAGCACTTTAGTAAGTAAAAGCCCTAGTGTGTGCTTTGAGACATGCCAGAGGCTCCATGAGTCAAGCCTACAGGAACTAGATACTTGAGTGATAACGGTTTCCCCTAATGCAAGCATGGTATCTACCCCACCTTGCTGGCCCTGCTTATCCAAAATGATGAATCAACCATGAATGACTTGGGGGATAATTTTAGACACAGGAGGGCTGACAGAATGATTCAGGTGCTGAAAGATCCATCTCTGAGGCCCCTCCTACAGCCTCTGCCACCAGCTCTCTTCCATGCTATTTTAGAGTCCCTTTCTTCAACACCCCACCACAGAGGCTCAGGGCTGTGTTGGTTGGCCTCCTCTGGCTTCCCAGTGACCTCAGTGCACAGTGAGAGAGCTCAGAGGCTGCTAGACAC